TACTTCCACACTTGGCATACAGTACTCCATGCCCATAGCTGCATCACTGAATCCTAATCTTCACAAACTTGAGGTGTCAAAATGAAATCTTCGAGACAGGGTTAATAAATAAAACAGAGCAAAGAGCAATGACTTGCCAATTGCAATAAGCCACAGCAACTCATCGAAATGTTCATTCTTTTAGAGCAGACAGAACATTGATAGAAGGCCGCTGGCTGTTTCTTATGGGTAACTGCAATTTGCTGTTTGCCTTGTTAAATGAGAGATGGTAATTTTGGTTCATCTTATGTAGCTATGATGCACATGCGTTGCCTATTCCCACCATCTCTTACCCACTTTGTGTATTGGAAAATCTGCTTCGGTTTGGGTTTATTTTACCCTTGTCCTTCTATTCTGAAGTCATTTAGCAGTCAGCCAGGTCAGTTTTCAGGCTTCAAAATGTTCTGCATAAATAATACTTGTGTAGTATACTCTACAGGGGGGGTTCTATAGGAGTTCAGGATGTAAAAAAAAATAAAAACATGGTCTGCAGCCGCCACGTGTTTCATCCAATAAGACTGCTGCGCTCATTTAGGTGGGTCCTGCCCTTTTCCTCCAAACTCGGTGATAACATGATATTCTGTTACCACAAAAAAAAAAAAACTGTTATAGAACCCCATCATAAAGCAACTACTAAACATAGCCTACATGCACAGCCGATGACGTAAGCTGGTATTTCCAAACATTAGTTTCCTAGATCTACATATTGAGCAGCAGAATATAGAATAAAGGAAAGCTGTTGTGAGCAAAAACAAAAAAAAAAAAGCTTTGAAAATGGTCAAATAGTTGTGTCCAAACTTTCATGTTTCTCTGCCTTTAGAACTTCTGACTCCTGATCTGCATAGATCAAGTCAGAAAGTCCTGAAGTCAGAAGAGTCATCAAAACAGCCAGTCAAAAAATTTTTTTTGGGAAAAGATATCAACTATGTATGCCCTACCTGCTTCCATCACAATAGGTTTCCTTTCAAGAACCTACAAAAAAAACGTGCCCTACTGGTGGTGCTGGAGAATAGAATTGCTAACCCTGAGAGCAACTAGTGACTTAAGGACCTTGTCATGCACTGAGTTGACCAGATCAATCATTGTGAACACTGGGGGCTACCGATGATCACATTTTGCATACGTGAGGTTCTCAATGAAGCCTCACTGGCATGTGTTCAACTTTATTTTACTTTCTAGGGGAAAAAAAAAAAAAAGAAACCAAGAAAAATAAAATGACTCTTTAATATAAGTTATCTGTTTTTGTTTTTTTTCAGTCATCTCGCAATGATCAATTGAGAACAAATAATTAAAAAAAAAATGTGAAGAAACAGCCAGGAATATGTTTGCAAGCATGAAATCAATCTGGCCAGAAAGTCATATAGTACATGCACATAAAACACAAGATGCTCATTCTGTGAAGGGATTTTGTCAATTGCCCTGGAACATATTAAGTCAGGAGAAGGAGAGAGGAGATCCGAAATTTGCATAGTATAAGTTGCATACAGGAAATATCCAATTCCTTTCAATCTACAGCAATGAGTTTATCAAAAAATTAAAAATTTTTTTACTACACTTGATCTTAGCCAAAAGGCCGAGAAGCAATAATAATCATTTTTTTAATGCATTTCCCTAACTTTTGTTGTGGACATTGTGAGCATGGAATATGTCAGGAATTATGATATCAAAGTCACAGGAAAGCTGTTTTAATTAATACATCTATGCCCCGTTAAAGTTCATGGGCAGGGAACGTAATTTTTTTTTTTGTTAACTTGCAAACAATTGGGCGTCCATATTGAGCACTACTTCACATCAGTGAATATTTTCTAATCCTTCAATAAATAAACTCCATTGACTTGCACTTGATGAAAACTTTGATTTTAAATTTTTTTACTCAGTTCCCTCTCTTTTGTAGTGCCTTTCCTGCATTTCTTTTTTGGGCAGATAGCTTGGGCCATACCAGGGGCGTCCTTAGGGTTGGTGTCACCCGGTGCGGTAATAGTTGGTGAAACCCCCTCCGACAATCCCCGCAGAAGGGATCGGATCTGCGGATTGAGCATAATGGATCGGACTCTGATCCATTATGCTCCCCAATCCACAGATCCGATCCATCCTCCGGGGATCGTCGGCTCTCTTTACAACTTACCTTTTCATGGAACGGGTCCGGTGTCACCCTATATAGGTTGTGTGCCGAAGATCCCCGCAGGATTTTTCAGGACCTGCGGATTGAGCATAATGGATCGGACTCCGTTCCATTATGCTCCCCAATCCGCAGATCTGATCCATCCTGCAGGGATCGTCAGCTCTCTTTACAACTTACCTTTTCATGGAGCGGGTCCGGTGTTACCCTGTATAGGTTGCGTGCCGACGATCCCCTCAGGATGGTTCGGATCTGCGGATTGAGCATAATGGATCGGACTCCGATCCATTATGCTCCCCAATCCGCAGATCCGATCCATCTTGTGGGGATCGTCGGCTCTCTTTACAACTTACCTTTTCATGGAGTGGGTCCGGTGGCACTCCATACAGGTTGCGTGCCGACGATCCCCGCAGGATTGTTCGGATCTGCGGATTGAGCATAATGGATCGGAGTCTGATCCATTATGCTCCCCAATCCGCAGATCTGATCCATCTTGCGGGGATCATCGGCATGCAACCAATATGGGGTGAGACTGGACCCGCTCCATTGGACCCGCTCCATGAAAAGGTAAGTTGTAAAGAAAGTCGACAATCCACGCAGAATAGATTGGATCCATCCTGTAGGGATCGTCAGCTTGCTTTACAACTTACCTTTTCGTGGAGCGGGTCCAGTGTCACCCCGTGCGGTAGATGACACCCGGTGCGGTCAGTACCCCCCGCAGTTGCCTTGGGACACCACTGGGCCGTACACATCAGCGATTGTGTCTGTTTGGAATTTCACTTTCTCCTGCTTACTGAAATATTGCACATTTGCAAGGGAGCAGAGGCCTGCTGCTTTACTGTAGTGGTAAAGCGAGTCCCCACAGAGCAAACGTCAACCAATATGCCAACTTGGGATGGCTTTAATATCAAGTTCTGCCAGACAGAGAATTGCGTTCTAATTTCTGTGCAGCCCATACAAGTCCTCCATATTTATGACAGCTAAAACCCGATCAGTTGATACGGCCTTGGTGAAGATCACTGATGTTTGAGTCATATTATTAAACATTCTTGTATTTTTATCATTGTAACCCTGTAGGGTAGTGGTCTCCAAACTACGGCCTGTGGGCCAGATACAGCCCTTGTGGCTTCACAGTCGGTTTTTGCTGTTTGCTGCACCAAACTAAACAGAAAGTGGGAGCAGGTACCTGTAAAAAGATAGATACCTGCCACCCTCCCCCCCAAAAGGTGCTAAATGTAGAAGCGGGGGGGGGGGGTAGGCAGATAAGCAGAGCTTCAACTTTTGGATGGAGCTCTGCTTTAGGTCTGAAGGACAGTAAACTGGCGCTTTGTTTAGAAAGTTTGAAGACCCCTGTTCTAGGGCAAAAACATAATCTATAATATGAATGTGTGGAAATATGGAGCATCCATGTGCATATTAGCAAATGCAGAGCCAAATTGCAGGTTTAGAAATGTGTAAAAGTGACAAAGTGCAAGGGTTCAGATGAGAAAGTCTGGAATTTGGCTCACTTTGGTTGTCGATCTATTTACCGTTACTTAATATTTAAATTGTTATTTATATTACAGGATATTTTATATACAATTTTTATCTACATATTGCACATTTACATTGACTGTAATAGGATCCTTTGTTTCAGTGCATTGCTTTGCTTATATAGGCAGATGGACATTGTAGAGATGGAGTATGTGATAATTATAGGAGAATTACTGTTTAAAATGTGCTAATTAATATATCCAAAATGGAGTCCATGTGCAAGGCAAAGGCTTTTTTTTTTTATTTAATTAACCTGCACAAAATAGGATGTTCCTATTAAATACAGCTTTGTTTAAGTGAACATTTTCTACTCCTTTGGCAAATATACTTCATTGCCTTGCACTTGGTGATCTGTCCATTTGACAGCTCTCAACTGGCAATAAATAGCAACCATACTGCATGCTCGGTATCATCCTAACCAAAAATGAACAAAAAAGAAGTTCCTAGCCTGTAAATATGATTAAATCTAGCATGAAAATTATATTTTTTAATGCTATTGATCAAAATAAAGAGTATGGATATTCATTTTAGGAAAATATTTCCAAGAGAAGTCTTTAAAACTATGACTGCCCTGGAAATCCGTGAACAACTATGAAAAAGATGGACACATAAAAATGTGTCTCTTGTGTGCCTCTTATATCCCTAGTTTTTTTGGGAGGATATCTATCAACCTCCACAATAAAATCAGCTGGTCAGGACAGGAGCATAGGATCTGCCATTAGTGACTTGTTTTTGTAGGTGGAATCTCTGGGACTATTGGTCATGATCCTTGCTCCATTGCATGTTGGATCAATGACTTGGAAAATGAATCTGAACATTAGGTATCTGGACGTGTAATATGCACATGCTCATCCTGAGTGAGTAACTTATTGGGGTTGATTTACTAAAATTGATGAGTGCAAAATCTGGTGCAGCTCTGCAAAGAAACCAATCAGCTTCCAGTTTTTTTTTTTTTTGTCAAAGCTTAATTGAACAAGCTGAAGTTAGAAGCTCATTGGCTCCCATGCACAGCTGCACTGGAATTTGCACCCTCTGGTTTTAGTAAATCAACCCCACTAAGGCTGGCCATGTACTATACAATTTTCTGCCCAATTTCATTTAGATTTACCTTCAACTATGTAGTGCAAGAGTCTTCCTAATTGGATACAATTGAAAGTGTTGTTTTTGGGAGGCTATCTATCAACCTCCACAATAAAATCAGCTGGTCAGGACAGGAGCATAAGATCTGCCATTAGTGACTTGTTTTTGTAGGTGGAATCTCTGGGACTATTATCATGATCCTTGCTACATTACTTGTTGGGTCAATGACTTGGAAAATGCATCTGAACATCAGGTATCTGGATGTGTAATATGCACGTGCTCATCCTGAGCAGGGGCGGACTGACCATTTGGAAACTCGGGCACTGCCCGAGAGCCCGGGGTCAGTAGGGGGCCCCATGAGATGCCCTTGGTACCTTTTTCATAGGTTTTTTTGAGTTTGGGCAAGGACACAGGGGCCCCATGATCCCCTATTGCCCGAGGGCCCCATGAGTTGTCATCCGCCCCTGATCCTGAGAGAGTAACTTATTGGGGTTGATTTACTAAAATTGAAGAGTGCAAAATCTGGTGCAGCTCTGCAAAGAAACCAATCAGCTTCCAGTTTTGTTTTTTTTTTTGTCAAAGCTTAATTGAACAAGCTGAAGTTAGAAGCTAATTGGCTCCCATGCACAGCTGCCCTGGAATTTGCACCCTCAGGTTTTAGTAAATCAACCCCACTAAGGCTGGCCATGCGCTATACAATTTTCTGCCCAATTTCCTTTAGATTTACCTTCAACTATGTAGTGCAAGAGCCCGCCTAATTGGATACAATTGAAAGTGTTGTTTTTGGGAGGATATCTATCAACCTCCACAATAAATCAGCTGGTCAGGAAAGGAGCATAAGATCTGCCATTAGTGACCTGTTTTTGTAGGTGGAATCTCTGGGACTATTATCATGATCCTTGCTCCATTGCATGTTGGGTCAGTGATTTGGAAAATGCATCTGAACATCAGGTATCTGGACGTGTAATATGCACGTGCTCATCCTGAGTGAGTAACTTATTGGGGTTGATTTACTAAAACTGGAGAGTGCAAAAGCTGGTGAAGCTCTGCAAAGAAACCAATCAGCTTCCAGTTTTTTTTTGTTTTTTTTTGTCAAAGCTTAATTGAACGAGCTGAAGTTAGAAGCTAATTGGCTACCATGCACAGCTGCACCGGAATTTGCACCCTCAGGTTTTAGTAAATCAACCCCACTAAGGCTGGCCATACACTATACAATTTTCTGCCCAATTTCCACCCAATTTCCTTTAGATTTACCTTCAACTATGTAGTGCAAGAGCCTACCTAATTGGATACAATTGAAAGTGTTGTTAGGTTTGGCCTCCTATTATATGGTTTCTGGTAAATCTTAACCAAAAAGCTCAAGAAAATTGTATAATGTATGGCCAGCCTTAGGCTAGCCATACACTATACAATTTTCTTGAGAATTTTGCTTTAGATTTACCAAAAACGACATAATATGAGGTCAAACCTAAACAACACTGTCAGTTGTATCCAATTGGGCAGGCCCTTGCACTACATAGTTGAAGGTAAATCTAAAGGAAATTGAGCAGAAATTGGACAGACATTTGTAAGAAAATTGTATAGTGTATGGCCAGCCTTAGCATTGGAATGACAGCTCTGGAGCCTGCACAAGTAACACCTATATTCTTATGGAGATTGGTTCCTGTAGAAAGCAATCCAATATTTCTTATCATCATTCTTTGCATGGGAACCTTAAGGCAAGAATTGGCAACAAAGCCGAAACACAGAACTGTTTATTTGTCTGTTTTCAGTGAACATTGGCACCAACCAATTTATCGCAATTGAAAAACGAATTTGTCATTGCCCAAAAAAAGCAACAAACAGGTTACCATTGTTCCTAATTTTTTTGTGTAAATTCTATAATACGAAGGAGGAGATTTACTAAACACTCAGAATCTGGTGCAGCTGTGCATGGCAGCCAATCAGGTTCCAACTTCAGCTTGTTGGATTAAGCTTTGACAATAAAACCTGGAAGCTGATTGGTTTCTATGCAGAGCTGCACCAGATTTTGCCCCAGAATGTCCATGTAGGGCTTGCTAAGTGCTACATTGACAAACAACTCTACCAAACAACATTTTGTGGTCAGCTTTACTCTCAGTCAAATAGCCACATTAGCTCCATTCACTTTTACTCCAGCAGTGGCTTGGGGCCCCTCTATTCACTTGTCACTTGACAACACCAGAAAAGGTCCAGCATTGCCTGCCCTCCCTATAGTTGATGATGCCTGGGCTATGTTGTGGCCATGCTATTGGAAGAGATTGAAAACACTGCCAGAATGGTATTGCTGATCTGACATGTTCACCAGGTTGGATCATGTATAAATACAGGAATAACTGTTTCATTGTAACACCTACAGGACAAGGTATTCATTTTACAAATTTAAATTTTAAGGTTTGCAAGTTTTTTAAACTCGGGCAGCACAGTGGCTAAAACACGTGTTGGTGTGTGGAAGGAAACCCAAGTACCCGGAGGAAACCTACTGATCGTCAGTGTAAGAGGGCATTTCTTCATTGACCACTAATGCATAGGGGCATTTTATTTTACCTTGACCACGAATATATTAGGGCGTTCCTCCCACTGACCACCAGTGTCAATGAATGTGGCCATTAAAAGCATGCCCCCTTACATTGGTGTCAGACATGCCAATGCACTGGTGTCAGGAACTTATATGATGTAAAGCTTTGGCTATGCAGACATCCACAGGCAGAGGATTGATCCACTAAGTGGGCAGCACAGTGGCTAAATGGTTAGCACTTCCACCTGGCAGTACTAGGGTCGTTGGTTCAAATCCCAACCACGGCACCACCTGCCTGGAGTTTGCATGTTCTCCCTGTGCCTGCGTGGGTTTCCTCCAGGTACTCCAGTGTCCTTCTACACTCCAAAGACATGCTGGTAGGTTAATTGGCTCCTGTCTAAATTGTCCCTAGTATGTGTATGTATGAAGGAGTTGGGGACCTTAGATTGTACACCCCTTGAGGGTCAGGAACTGATGTGAATGTACAATATATATGTATATTATATGTTCATGTTAATCATTGGTATACGATTTAATGTTAGCAGCTTCTCTTAGTTAGATATAGTCGGACATTGTTGAGCGCAGGAGGTTCACACCATTAGGCGTATGTATGAATGTGAGTTAGGGACCTTAGATTGTACACCCCTTGAGGGTTAGGGACTGATGTCAATGTACAATATATATGCATAAATTGACGGAACCAGGGGCGGACTGACCATTTGGAAACTCAGGCACTGCCCGAGGGCCTGGGGTCAGTAGGGGGCCCCATGAGATGCTCCTGGTACCTTTTTCATAGGCTTTTTTGAGTTTGGGCAAGTACACAGGGGCCCCATGATCCCCTATTGCCCAGGGGCCCCATGAGTTGTCAGTCCACCCCTGGATGACACTATATAAGTACCTGTAATAAATGTAAAAAATAAATAACCTAAACCCTCAATCAGGGGCGGACTGACAACTCATGGGGCCCCCGGGCAATAGGGGATCATGGGGCCTCTGTGTCCTTTCCCAAACTCAAAAAAGCCTATGAAAAAGGCATCTCATGGGGCCCCCTACTGACCCCGGGCCCTCGGGGTTTCCAAATGGTCAGTCCCCCCCTGCCCTCAATTGAAATATTACTTCAATATTAACTCTAATTTTGCACTTAAATGCAACCCTGGGATATATCTGCAAATCTGCCTCAACTGCTATGGTGCCATTCAGACAGAAGACAACAAAATATCATGTCATTTATGGACATGTGCAATTCTATATTTTATTTCAGTCAAGGGACATAATGCACAAAAAAAAGAGGATTAGAAGCGTAGTTCTGAAAAAGATGTTAGCAACCACATTCTGCTGCTTTGCTTCTGTGTGCAAATACATGTAAAAATAATGACTTTGTAGTATAAATAAAAATGGATCCGACTGGGAATATTTAATGGCTTCAGTAAAATGTATGTATGTGCGTTGTCCATGTTTGCATTCTAAATGTGCTTCAGAAAAGATCTAAATTTAGCAGTGAAGCATGGAAACGAGACTAAGTGTTGCTTGCAGGCATCACGTGAGATGCACAGTTCACCTAATTACTTTATATTTTTAGCCAAAGCCAGAAACTTATCTGGAGCATAAGAATGCTCTTTAGTGGCATTACATGTCCCCATGCAGTTGGGGATAACTGCCGTCTATTGCTTTTTGGAGGCATCTGTTCTCTCCTGCAGTTCTTACACAGGTATGAGCATGTTAAACTGGGTTCCCAGGTGGAGCAAAAAATTGGCAGTTATTAGAGATGCTTTAAATATTTCTTTTTTTTTTTTTTTTTTTTATTCCACGTACATATCGTCAAATTCCCATAGGCAAGGAATGGTACCAGATGCCACAAAATACTTTGGCTGAATTAACCACTGCCCCAGGATCTCAGCAGTCGCTCACATAACACAATATCCAGGCATGGTCATAGGAGGCACTGCAAGGAAAATAGCAGCATGGGGCCCACAAACAAGCTATCAGAGAATTTGAACATTTAGCATGTATCCACACATTATCAAGGCATCTGGCCTTTTGAGTACTGCTGGAAGGGAAGATTAGTGCATGTAAACTCTGATTTTAACATTTGGCAGAGATCATATGACTGGAGACCTACGTCCTTGATTTTTTTGGATGTCTACATTGGGATTCAAAGATGGGAGTTTCTTCAGCCCAAGTATTTGTGGATCCCGATACTCTTTTTCAGTTTTAAGGGAGAAAAAGATGTTGTTTTGAGTGGAGATTCATTATTACTTGATATGAGTGACATCTAATCACAAATTATTGGTTGGCATGGTGACACAATGAAAAAAACGTCTGTCCGGTTCATTCATTTGGTATCATCAATGGGTCCATTGAGATGAAAACTTGGCTGAACTGCTTCGATGACAAGCACAGTTGGGTCTCACAGTTTAGTTTAAAGAGAAGCTCTATGTCACATCAATGAAGTTTACCTCTTTTAAATTACAACCCTGGCCATCTTTATTCAATGAAGATGCATCAACAAGAGGCATCATGGGAGGCTAACTTCACTGATGTATTTAAAATGCATGAACAAGAGGCATCATGAGAGGCTAACTTCACTGATGTATTTAAGATGCATCAACAAGAGGCATCACGAGTGGCTAACTTCACTGACGTAAATTTAAGATGCATCAACAAGAGGCATCATGAGAGGCTAGCTTCACTGACATATTTAAGATGAACCAACAAGAGGCATCATGAGAGGCTAGCTTCACTGACGTATTTAGGATGCATCAACAAGAGGCATCATGAGAGGCTAGCTTCACTGACATATTTAAGATGAACCAACAAGAGGCATCATGAGAGGCTAACTTCACTGACGTATTTAGGATGCATCAACAAGAGGCATCATGGGAGG